TAATTAGCTTTCGCATTGTAATTAAATTTAATTTAAATCACATTAAAAAATATTTTAACAAATATAACAAAAATTATTAAATCTAAATTTGTTATTTGAAAAAGATTATATTTCCTTTTAATTTATTTTTTAAATCTTTATACTTAACTTTTTTTTGTTTGTTTATCACAATTTATTTATTTTAATTTTTACATATTTAATGCAGTATTTTTAATAAAGATTATAATCAATTTATAGATAGATTTTATCAGTTATCAGTAAGATATTTGGAAATGTAATTTATGTTCATAAATATATTTTGTCAAAAGAACTTTACGCAATATTGAATTAATAAGAAACAAAGAATTTTAAATATATTTGTGAAAAAAATTCCCTTTTAACAAGAAAAAAATGTTTTTAATTTGCTTTCGCTTATAATAATCTATGATAATCTATGACGGAGAGGCTTATGTTTTATGTAATGAATTAGTTAGCAGGCAATAAGAAAAAATCTTAATAAATTTTTTTTTTATAAAACAAATTGTTTCTTTAAAAAGCTCTCAGTTGCGGTTAAATGCCATTTTTTTACGGCCTAATATTTCCTGATTAAATCTCACATAAACAATATTAAAAGATAATTTAAGTATTCCTAAAAAAAAATGTTTTCGTCTATTGTAACGCTTTCGATGTTTACGAAAAATGCTAGCTATATCAAGCTTCCTATCATCTATCAGCTATCAACTATCATTGCTTCTTAACAAGGCCTGTCAATGTTTTATTTTTTTTGAACAAATTTAATTCTATTACTTTATCTCTAAATCCTTAAATAAAATTTGTAAAAAAATAAAAATAAAATAGTATTTAAACAATAAAACTTTTTTTGTTTTTATTTAGGAAGTATTTTATTAAATATATTTAGATGCTTATACAATTTTCTTCTGTTCTAATTAACAATGAAAAGTGCGGAAAACAAACTTTGACACTTTCAAAAAATAGTTTTATTTTAGATAGTTACTTTTCTTTTTTTATGGGTTTAAAAAATGCAATAAAAAAACCTAATTAATTTACAAAGAAAATTAAAAGAAACAACCATAAACTGAAAAGAGAAACGAACTTAACAAATGATAAAATAAATATAGGATAACCAGAGAAAATAAAAATATAAAATTAATATATACTTTAATTTAAAAGTGTCTCAATTAATACTTTTAAGTTAATAATTTTGCTATATCGCTATCTTAGTGTTGCATATAGGTTGATTTGTTATTACATTAATGAGGCTTGACTGTTAGTTTAGCATTGGATGAGGGTTCAAATCTTCATAACAGATAATTTTTTTCTTTTTTATGTTTTATTTGGTTAATAGATATTAGAAACTATCAAAGTTTTAAGTTTTTAAATAATTCAGATCTTTTCTAAATTCTATGAAGTGAAACACTTTTAGATAAAAACGAAGACATTAATTTTATGCTTTTGTTTTTTCTGGTTTATTTTTTTAGTTTAGTTGCGTAATTTTTTTTTCTCCGACTGGTTGTAGATATTTTAACCCTGGTGTCATGTTGAGAAGCATAATAACTTTTTTGTTTCCATGGAGACATAGTTAACTTAAAGTGATTCTCTCACTTCACATTCTTCATATTCTAATTTAATTGATAGAGTTTTGGAATGTAAAACATACATCATTGTATATCATGTTTGATTGCTTCAGATGTATCCCACTTACCTTTTAAGTAGTTTTTCTGATGTTCAATTCATCTTGATAGAACCTTTTTTCTTTGTTTTTCAATGTATATACTGCAACAAGATAATGTATATACTGCCACAAATTAATGTATATACTGCCACAAATTAATGTATATACTGCCATAATTCAATATATATACTGCCACAATTTAATGTATATACTGCCACAAGTTAATGTATATACTGCCATAAGTTAATGTTAGTTTGTAAACATCAGGATTACTATTGAGAATTAATTTGACTTGTAATATAATATATATTCTTTAATGTAGGTGGTGTATTAAAAATTATTCTGACATTGTAAGATTTAAGTTCTTTTCTAAGTTTTGAACATATTCTTGGGAGCCACGGAAGTTTAACTGTATATTTATTTGTTTCTGTTTTATTTTCATTTATATTGGAAAGTTTGTTTCTTTTTTGAATATAATTCTTGGTAATTGTTTAAAGTTTTGAACTAATGTATCCATTTTCTGCAAACATGTTTACTAAAAACTGTGTTGCATCATTAAGATATTTTTGTAGAAGAAAATTTATTGATACAAAACCTTTAAAAACACCCTTATTATTTTTAGATTAATGTTTGATGTTGGTTTTGTTTGTAAATTATTGGGATATTATTGGTTTTAGTTATGATATTATTGGTTTCCATGCATAGATTTAAAGTAATTAAAATTCGAAAGCGCTTTATGCAGAATGAAAATTTCTGAATGATTACTAAAAAATACTAAGTTAAAAAAGAGAAAAATATATCTTATTTCTACAAACTTAAACAAAGCAAATAAAAATTAAAAGAAAATTAAAAGCATTTTTTTAAACCATATTTCTTTTATAAATAATTGTCTCACAGTAAATAATTGTCTCACATCCATCATATAAAAAAGTAAATAATTGTCTCACATCCATCATATTTGAAATCATATTTTTAATACAGTGACCTCTAGACATAAAGCAGTTTTTCTGAAAACTTGGCCAAATTTCATCTGATAACCTTAAATATATGCAAGTAACAACATAAATTTAATTATTTTTTAAGTTATTTAAATTTAAAGTTGTAAAAAGTGTAAAAAACATTATTTTTTCATGATGGCGAATGATGTTCATTATTTACCCTGTTATGAAAGTAACGTAACCATTTTTGAAAAGTTGTTGGGAATGAAACACCCTAGTGTCACACCTATGTAAGTTGGACAGGTTCATTTTAATCATGGTGAAGAATTTTTCTCTTTGCATATTATCACCACAAAATCTGACAACATAAAAGAGCGATTTTCTGATTAATATCTTAATAGATATCTATAAATAATATATAAACACCTAGAATATGATAAATATGATAGATTTAGACCAAAAATGTTAGGTTCTTCTGCAATTTTGCCAAAATGTTACATTCAAAAAATTCTGCTACACTTTTGACTGCTAAAGGTGTTAATAAATTTGTATTTGAATCCTTAGATCAGTTACAAACAGGTATAAGTAAAAATATATTAAAAGAGATAAAAAAGCAAATGGATGAATGTCAAGATAAAATCTTTATGGCATTAATAATCTTCTTAGAAACAGGCAATACTCCACATTCTACTAGGGGAAGTGGGGGCATAACCGCCCCCATAACATTTGAATTAATGTATTATGGAAATAAAAATGAAATGTGTTTTTTTAACAGTTTATTTCAATAACCATATTATTAAGCTTTAAATTGATGCAATTAAGAAAAAAATTAAACGCTTTTTGAAAATGTTATTACACAAAAATTATACTTAGTGAAAAAAAACGGTTTTGCTTCCATTGTAAGGCACAACCGCACCCTCACAAAAATCGTTGGGGGTACACTTTTCATTTTCTTTACAATTGTCACAGCTCAGATTGCTTTCTAATTTTGTTGCACGTTTGCATACTGTATAGGCATTCTTTGTATTTACAGTCTGAGTTTTCTCATTCGACTCTTAGCTTTATATATTAATTATAAACTCATAAAAATTAAATTAAAAGTACGAAATCTAATTTCCAACATCTCAAAACATTTTCTATTCATGTTTTTACATAAACGCATTCAAGTGTGACGATTGTAATTATTGTTATTTGTTTATTTGTTATTTAACCTAACTTTGATAAATATTAAAATTATGCGATTGTGCCTCCTGTGCGTTTATGTGGTTCTGCCCCAGGGGACAGTTTTTATTTTTAAGAATACAGTTTCATAGCTTGCTTATTATCAAAAATGGTTTTCACTTGATGAAAAAACGCTGATAACACATATCTTTAATACTAAAATCAAATATTGCTTAATCCTCAAAAATAAGGTCTTTAAAAATATGATGTAAATATAATATTTTTATTAAAATAAACATTATTATGTACAGCTTCTCAGAAACATAACAGGCACTCTTTTTGACATAATCAAAATGAAGGAAAAAAATGTGTAATAATATTTTGCAGCAAAAGCTGAAAGTGTCAATTTACTCAATTACCCATGTAGAAGAGCAGAGCTCTACTAAATGACTACATTGTTGAAAAATGATTTTGTGCTTTTAACAATCAACAATAACAAATAATTTAAATATATTGTTTAACGCACTTCTAACAATAAGACCAACATCTATTGCAACAGAGTTTTTCAATTGCAGGTTTTCAATTGCAGGTTTTCAATTGCAGGTGAAACTCTAACAAAAGTAAGACCAACATCTATTGCAACAGCGTTTTTCAATTGCAGGTTTCAATTGCAGGTTTCAATTGCAGGTTTCAATTGCAGGTTTCAATTGCAGGTTTTCAATTGCAGGTTTAACTCTAACAAAAGTTAGAACTCACTTAAATTTTCTTAATTTGAATGGAAATGAAATAAACATTTTTAAAAATCAAATAAACTTAAATAATGTAATTGTTTTATTTTTTTTATATTTGAATTTTCAATGTATATAACTAAAATACTTGGATAAAAAAAAAATATTATAGACAAAAAGTGCTAAAGTTAAATACAGTTAATTGACATTCAATGTCAAAGATCTAAAGTAATTATTGTTACATCATTTAATGTTTTCACTGTATAGTATAAATTCTGTAAATTGATTCAATTCAATGCAAATAGAGCTCAGTCTACTTCTCATTTTACATAACTCGAAAAACAGTTTTCTGTTTATTCATGAAATAGAAATTAGTGTAACTATGGGGACAGAAATAAATTTAAATTTACTTCACAAAGCAATTAACATTTAGTTAACAAAAATTAAACTATGTGTATATTATAATGATAAAAAAATTAAAAAAGCAATATTTATTTTTAGAATTATCAGAAGAAGAAGAAGAAGAAGAAGAAGATGAGACACTCCTAGATCAAATATTTGATGTATGTTTTCTACATAAACTTCTTTATTATTATTTCTTTATTTTGTTAAATTTTTTTACTTTAATTTTATTGTGAAATTTAGTTCATTATAGTGTTTATTATATAAATGTTGTGAACATGGTATATAGTAAAAAATAACAAACTGTTGTAAAATCCAATTCAAAATCATTATTTACTTAATGGAAAATCATCATATTTTGCATGGTTTAAATCTTTGGCTTGTAATCATTAAATTAGTTGTGCCAAGTCTAGTGTTCTTTTAAAATTATTTGTGCCAAGCCTAGTGTTCTTTCAAAATTAGTTGTGCCAAGCCTAATGTTCTTTCAAAATTAATCTAAAGTAGTCGCTAACGTCTGTCTCTAACGGTAATATTTTAGATTGTTGAAATCTTACAACAACTTATTTCTTTCAAATTTTTTATCTAGTGTTCTTTCAAAATTGTCTCTTGTGGTACTACTTTAGATTGGTGACATCTTATAACAGGTTATTACTTTCAAATCTAGTGTTCTTTCTAAATAATGTCTGTAACGGTTCTACTTTAGATCTTTGACATTGAATGTCAATTAACTCTATTTAACTTTAGCAATTTTTGACTATAATAATTTTTTTTTATTCATAATAAATTTTTACTTGTTTACTTGTTTTTACTTGTTACTTCTTCTTAAACTTATTTTACAGAAATTTAAAAACTATTTGTATTGTGGTCTTTAATTTAAAAACTATTTGTAACCTCTAAAAAATATCACAATTTAATCTTTATGAGCATCTCCTACCTCATATTTAAGTGGGAGTTTTTTTATCAAAGTTTTCTTTCTCCTAGGTGTGTTGCCTTCACCACATTTATAAAGGCACACATGTCCTACTTATATCAAATGTTCTTCATTTAATGGTATGAAAAGATGCAATATTTGTCTTCATATGCAATATTTGTCTTGATTTGACTCTAACATAATCTGTAACTAGAATAAAAAATGGCTTTAGCAATAGTTCTTTAAATACTTGAGAATAAAATGTTTTTTTTTTCTTTTTGTTTAATGTGTTTTTTATCTTTGTTAACCAATAGGTAAACATTTTTTTTGAATTTTTATAAACTTTGTTTGAGTTATGTTACTTGGTGTCTTATACAGAAATATTTGGCTTTTACTAGTTAAAAACTTTGATCATCTGTATCTTTAACAAACTGTTTGGTTTTAACACAGAGTTTTTTTTTTTTAATAAAAAGATAATCATTTTGTATTTAATATCTTTTCATGCGTTTTTCTCTTTTGTCCATAAGTGTATTTTTTTTTTACTTTTTATTTTTTTCAGAATGTTTTAAAATCACGACTAAACATAACTCAAAAGATAATGATAGGTCAACACTAGATAGGTTGACACTAGTCAACACCTGTTTTTGTGCAAGAATGTTTGCAGCTGATTTTATATTTTAATGTTTGCAGCTGATTTTATATGAACTTGATGCCCTGAATTCAACTATACCATATATATTTAATATATATGGTATATTTGATATATTAATATATATATTTAATATATATGAGGTTATATAATATATTCAGCTCAAATTTTTAAGATTTAACTTTTTAGTAAAATATACATTACACTATTTTCAGTGAAATCCATGGATTAAATCAAGAAGATAAACATGGAATTTGAATTATTATATCATATAAATATATAATTATATACTATATTATACCATTTATTATTTATATTATTATTATTATATACAAAAATAAAAAAATTTATGAAACAAACTATAGTCACTGAACACTCTAAACCTTTTTTTCTGTGACATTCTTGAATGTATTTTGAAACAGTCTCTTTAAATTACAGCAGTAATCTGCCATCATGTTTGTATCCCATCTTTTTAATGGTCCTCCATAGTTTTAATATTTTGGTAAAATCTTTCATCAGCTCCTCACTCGTTTCTTCTAAATTTTCAGGAAAACAGTCTAAATGGCTGTGTAATTAGTGCACCTTATTACTCATATTACACCCAAGTGATTTGAAACTGCTAAGCATCTCGTTTTCCAGTTCAACATAATTTCAATCTTTGCATTTGCAAAGATTGAAATTATGTGATTGAATTTAAAGCGTAGTTAATGACATTCTTTTTCCCAACATCAATGTTTTCTGTTATAGGCCATTCTTTTCTAACCCAGTGGTCTATTTTGTCTCTGCTATTTGAGAGACACAGCCATTTTGCTGTCCTAGGAGAAAATTACCATTTTTAGTCACCCATTGATGTTCTGATAAATTAGCTTTTTTTCAAGACATATGCAATGGTGTTATATTTTTATTTTATTTTTATTGAGTGAGCAATTAATATTAAACCAAATTTATTCTCATTGTACAGAATAATACAAATCATCAAATATTTAGGAAGATCCCTCTTTTCCAAAAGTCCTCTAATTTTGTAACAAAATAAAAGATCCTCTTCTTGAGAGAAGAAGAGTAGCAGATTCTTTAGTATAAAGCATACTTTATACTAAAGATAGTAGAAAGTAGTTTTGGTTTCTTGTTCCAGTAAATTTGTGTCCTTCAACCTAGAAGCTAGTAACTAAAAAGCTTCTTTTGACAGACTGAGATCTCTGGTGAGGTCATTCAACTCATCTTGATTGAAACGTTGTGGAATTAGTTACATCCCCGCATAATCACTGTCACCTTCATTTCATTAGTATCAGAAGGTCAATATTCATCCTCACAGAGCTCTGGTTGTTGGAGTAATGTTGGGATTGGCACTTCCTCTGAGTGAAGAACAGGTCGACTTGCAGAGACTAAACTAAGATGAGCCCACTTGCTAACTCCCAGATATCTTAGGCAACAACAACAACATTTTTTCCACTAAAATATTTTTTATCACTATTAGCTTGCAAATATTTGTTATATAGTTTTCATACATTTGTTTGTTATGTCTGTTGCATATCGTTTTTTATTTCTATTGTTTAAGTTACATATGTCAATTTGTTGCTTTTTACTCATATAATTTAATTTATGTTTTTTCGGGTTATTAAAACAAAAGTTTTATCAATTTAATGACTATATAACCTCATAAGGTGATTTACGATCATCTAATATTTTTATTTCAGAATATCAACGTATATTAATTTTTATTTGTTTAGGGTAGTTATGAATCCATACACAATGCTAGATTGTTTGTTCAATTTGGCGAGGCAGTTTACAGGGTAACTAATCCACATTTACTCAAAAACCCTGCAAACTCGTACCAATCTGATACATTGCCACACGCCAACTCGACTATAATTTCAGAAAAAGAAATATGATAAAGATATTTAAATTGTTAAATTATTTATCATTATTTTTATTTTATACATATAGTTTTACTGTTTTGTTTTAATAAAGGTTTATAAATATATTTATTTAATTATTGTATTTAATATACACTACAGTCTTAACTATTCAAACGGTCATACTTTTCGATATATGATAAAGTTTTAATTACAATCCGAAAATAAACTAAAAACAAAATATACCTGAATTTATGTTTTCTTCCTATTTATTAAGTTTACATAGAAATTAATATAAAGTCCCATTTAATTTGTTTATAATTTACTTGCCTGTAAATCTCTTTTGTAATTTTTATGATTTATATCAAAGCATTTTAATCAAGATACTTTTTTGCTTTTCAAACAAAGTCCAGTCAGGTATTCTTTCACATATCTCGTTGTAACTTTATCTCAAAGCACTTTGGGATATCCTGCTGGACCTCAGGATAAAAAGTTCATAAAAAGTTTATAAAATTATTATTGTAGTATTTTAAAACATATTCTTTTATTGTTTAATTTTTAGATGTAAACAGTGATGTTATAGGAAAGAATTAAACAAAAAAGATTTTGTATTTTTAAACTAAAACATTCTACAAATAATAATAATAACAAATCAGCAATTCTACTATTTTTAACATCTCAAATCCTCCTCCCTTTTTGGTTGCAAAAGAAAACCACCAGTTGAACGTCATTAAGTTCCAGCGAAAAAGCAAGTTGTTGGTTTACCTGTTAATTCAGATAGTAATTTAGAGAACGTCTACTAATAAAATAAATTTGAACAAACTTCAAAGGTTACTATTAACATTCTAAGTCAAAAATTCTGGACTACAAAACAAGTTGGACATTTAAAATCCAAACAAAATACCCAAAAAAAACTGTAATGGTTCTATAAAACATATTTTAAATTAATCTAGGAAGTACTTATTACCAATACAAATTAGTTTTTTTAAAAGTCAATTAGAAATGAATAAACGAATCAATAAAGAAAAACGCTGGGCCAGTTTGTGACAAAAATTTTTGAATTTGCGAATTCTTTTTCATAGTCCTCTAACTTTTAATGTCTTGAAAACAATATTTTGATTATTAATGGTAAAATTGTTTCTGGGCAACACATCCAGTCTCTGTACAATTTAGGCAAAAAAAACTCTGTGCGTTCTGTTTTATCTAAGTCAAACTTGACACTCAAATTTTTAGTTATCAGGTTGCTTCTGCATTAAATTTCTGCTCTAATACAAATTTATTTCCTTTAAGTTTATTACCAACAGCAAGATTTGTTGAACGCGTGGATACTTTATTTGATATATTGAATTCATATAAATTACATGCAGATAAACCAGCTCGTTGTGCTCTAACTTTAAAAGGGGCCAGTATTTCTCCGTTGCACAGTGGGCCAGTAGGTGAACAAAATGGGAAAAAGTTTAGTTGTCTAATCTTGAAAACTTATTTAATTTTAGAATCTAGATATATTAGGTGAAATTTATTGATAATTTATTTATATTAAATCCCTTAGTTACCAGGACTCTAAACATTTGAATATTGAAATTTAAAAAAAAAATTTAAAGAAGTAATTTACGGTGACAATAACGCTGTGTTATACTTCAATTAGATCTACGTTTTTGAAACAAATAATTAGTACATGTTATTCTTGAGTATTTAGAGATAAATATGTCATAGCATGTTATCTCAGTTATACTTGAGTATTTAGAGATAAATAAGTCATAGCATGTTATCTCAGTTATACTTGAGTATTTAGAGATAAATAAGTCATAGCATGTTATCTCAGTTATACTTGAGTATTTAGAGATAAATAAGTCATAGCATGTTATCTCAGTTATACTTTGAAAATCAGAGTAAAAAAAAAAACTTTAAGAAATTTATTTTTTGCTGCACTATAACTAATAACTACCATAATTTGCCATGTGCTGTCTTATATATATTTTTGCTGCACTATAACTAATAACTACCATAATTTGCCATGTGCTGTCTTATATATATTTTTGCTGCACTATAACTAATAACTACCATAATTTGCCATGTGCTGTCTTATATATATTTTTGCTGCACTATAACTAATAACTACCATAATTTGCCATGTGCTGTCTTATATATATTTTTGCTGCACTATAACTAATAACTACCATAATTTGCCATGTGCTGTCTTATATATATTTTTGCTGCACTATAACTAATAACTACCATAATTTGCCATGTGCTGTCTTATATATATTTTTGCTGCACTATAACTAATAACTACCATAATTTGCCATGTGCTGTCTTATATATATTTAAGCTATATGATGCTTTCAATCAAGTTTTAATTAATTGCTCGTCCCCTTAAATCTCCGTTCAGATTTTATATACATTTTAACTTGGTTGCTATTTTACTGAATTTTGCATAGCAACAGCTCATTTTTACATTAATGTTGTTTTAACAGTATTTTATCTGCGCTAAGTACACAATATTGGGAGTATGTGTTAAAATAAGATTCACTTATGAGTTAATAACAATTCTTATGAGTTTAATTTTTTTTTATTGTTAAGGCTACCTTACTTTGCATAGCATATAAACAACATATTTTCGGTAGTCGTCAGTAATTTAAATTCTAACACCAACAGTAATTTAATTATTCTTAATTTTAATTACTAACACTTGTAGTAACTTAATTACTAACAAGAATTAGTAGTGCACGCGGCATATATACTATAACATTAAACTTTTAAATACAAAATATTTGTTATAAGAATTAATTAGATATGGTTTTATTAAACTTAGACATTCATAATTTTCTCCAAAAAAACAATCTTATTATTTCAAAACAAAATATTACTCAAGATATATTAAAATTTATTCAGCCAAAGTTTGCTAAATTTAAAAACGTTGATTTTAGACATGCTGTTCAACGATTTGTTTACTTGTATAAAAAAAAGTGGAAATCTGCAAACTATACTGTTAAAAATTTTGAGAAGAAGTTTGTAAATTGGCTTAATGAATATTTAATTGTCAGAAAAAACAACAACAAACCAACTTCAAGTAGACGTGGTCGAAAACCAGTTGCATTTGATAATAGTTCTAATAAAACTAAAAAACGGCGTGTATCTTGCTTAATTGAATCCCATTCATCCAGTGAATTATTTTTTGCTGCTAATAAACAATTTAGAGATGAATCTATTGTTAGTGCTGCCAAGAACGTTTTAAATATTTCAAATACAGATAAAGCAACTAAACATTCAGCAGACGAAGCACTGGCTTTAATAATCGATGCCAGTCTGACAAAAGCTTCCTATCAATTGATTAGATGTGGAGCTTTGGAGAAAAAATATAACCTCTACCCCGTTTACAATGATGTCAGAAATGCAAAATTGAAATGTTATTCTTCAAACATAACAGTGGAGGACTATTTAGCTTCATCTCCCTTAAAAGATTTAACTTTGCAAAGAATCTGTCCAATTCAGGAACCTGTGCTGAGGCACTTGAACGACAAAGCAATTAAAACAATAACACTCATGTGTAAGGCTGGTTTTGATGGTGCTACTTGCAAAGATTTTTTATGCGTTTTTTACTCTTTTTATATGCTTTTACTATTTTTATATATTTATAACTACAAAATTTTATTTCTTATATATTAGTTACAACTATATATGCTGTAATCAATAATTTTTATTTTACGGAGTCAATTCAAAAACTGTGTATTGGCTATCTGTATTTATACTGAAATATTGATTGTATGTATATATACTTATATGACAACAACAACAACAAAAAAAAAAGCATATCATCTTTTATACTTTTAACTATAGAAAAAAGCAAATCCAATAGCAACTGTATAAAAAATTCAAATTTTGAGACAGATTTCAATCAAAATGGTTTTATAAAGTGTTGTAATCTAATAACCACTAATTGTAGAATTTATGTAACAGAAAACAACATACCTAAGGGATTATCTTATTTTTGTTTAAGATCATTTTATATGTTTACTGGGAAAATATTAATGCAACCAAAGGATCAAGCTCTTTTACACATGAGTAGATGGCTTATTTAAGAGGTTAAATTATGTAATAGGTGCGCAGATGTACTCTTTCTTAGTTCAGCTGACAATCCATCAGCTTTTATGTAACTAGTTTATGAAATAGAAACAACTTTTATACAATTTATTAATAAATATCTTGAAAGAAATGGACTGGCCATGGTTCTCATCAATAAAATTTAAAAAAATGTCATTTTCAGTTTTTGCTCAATCAACATGAAAAACATGCGCTTTATTTGGAGAAAAACCTTTTTCTATTTTTTGTTATTACAAGAATTTTTTGTTTCATAAAATTTAAACACAGAGATATAAACCCACGCATTAAGTCAAATGCAAAAAAAAAAAAAAATTGCACGTATTCTTCATAATTAATATATTGTGATACTATTTTTTCAATTTTTTTTTTTTTTTTTTTTTTTGTAATTGTAACAACAAAAACCATAAAAATCTTTTTTAAAAACTTTAAAAAAGATTTTTATGGTTTTTGTTGTTACAAGAATTTATCATTTTATAAAATTTTTAAACTGGTAAATAAACCCACCCAACAAGTCAAATTGCAATTTCTTTTTCAATTTTATTTAGGTATCTCAAGAACTCGCTACGGTTTTATTACAGAGCACCGCGGATAAGCATTTAATTGGAAGATCACGCCTTCTTTGTAACCGATGTCGTAAAACTTGCCCAGAGATGTGGTTTGAACCATGGATCCTTTGTTTCTGAGTCAAGTGCGCTACCACTGCGCCACGACTGCTCATATATAAAACATAAAGCTGAATTCCTGATGGACACTTAGATAGTAGGAGATCGAATAAATGTACGTTATAAACGGAAAAAATCTGTGACTTTCAACTAAAATTGTAAAAACAACTCCGTTATTTGTAAGAAAACCACGTTTTTGCTATGAACCATCAAAGCTACATATAATATCTCTTGTTGTTTTACTTGTAAGGATCAATTCATTAGCAGCATTTTGATCAACTAAATATTGATAAACATCCCACAGTTTCTGGAGCGTTTTATAGTAGCATTATTGGTTTATAGGTGGTTTCGCATTCATTAATCCACAAAATTTTTCTAATGACGATAACCCTTTATTTGTTTTATGAAAAGCCA